ATTACATTGAATGCAGGCCATAAAATATCTCAAGGCTGCGCGAAACGGCGTATGCGCAGGTCTTTCATAGCAGATACATCGGCCTTAACTAGGGAAAAACTGAGAGTCTCTTACCATAGACCTGTCAGCAAAGACGAAGAAGTCTGTGGCGATATCTCTCTGGCTCTAAAGCTCGTTCTGTTGTTATCGAGCACAAAAAAATAACGAAACAATGCACATAGACATGCTTGAACAGAAGAAAAAGCGATCGCTGGATCAAGAAATTTATTCGCCTGACGTTTCGGATTCTCGCTCGAACTTATCACCAGAGACAGTGACAGGAACAGGTGATTCGTGCACAGGAAGTTGTAGTATTTATAGGATGCAGTCACTATGCTACGGCATACCTATGGTAAGTAACCGCTCTCCTCTTCATCAAGAATCGTTGTACACTGGTACGCCAATTACTTGATGGACGACATGCGAGTCGTTAATTGCTGAAATCTCATCACCCGGATTGGATGCTGGCGTGATGATTGCTCGGCAATCAGGCTCACCGGCATGCCCTATGCTGGCCTCCAGCCTGTGTGCAACTACAACCCCAAGTGGTGCGGAAAGGCGGCTAACGGCCTCGGGGACGTTCTTGATGTACGAGATCGCTCGCCAGAATTTAGGGTCAGCACGATTTCGTCGCTCGTCTTGTTTTCGCATGCACCGGTTGAATAAGTTGCGCAGGTAACCATTTTATCCGAAAACCCGTCGAGGATATTGGGATTCGACAACCTTGTCTTCCAGTTCACTGCAGTGCGTCTCAACACGCCGATATAGTGTTCTTACGCAACTGCGTTTGCGGCTGATTGGGTGGTTACTGTTGAAGTTCAGAATTTGCGTCCTGTTCGTTGCTTTTATGAACACTTTGGTCTTTAGACCACCACAATCTTTGCGGCAGACGAGGACATCAAGGAAGGCTGTTGAGACGTTCTTTGAACGTTAGCACCTGATCCCGTTCGATGACGACGAAGGTATCGTCCATATACCGAGCCCAGAATTTCGGTCTGTGGTGTTGGAAGACCAGCGACTCCAACCGCTGTAGCACCGCCTCGGCGATGAATCCCGAAATCGGCGAGCCCATTGGTGTTCCCTTCACTTGCCCGTAGATTGTTCCGTCAAACGTGAAGTACGTCCTGAGACAGAACTTTAGGAGCTAAAGGATTTGGGCATATCCGAGATGATTCTCCGTTTCATTGTATTTGTTTTGTAGGAGTATCTCAATGGTCTCGATTGCCAGATCCTGGGGAATAGAATAACTGAGGGACGTGACATCAAAAGATACCATGACCTCACTTGGCAAGAGACTTACTCTTTTAATCTTCTCCAGAAATTGTGTTGACGAACAGACTGTGGTGTCCGAATCAGCGGTCCGAAATTTGAGACGCTGAAACAGCCATTTTGCCAGTCCGTGCGTTGGAGTGCCTTTGAGCGATAAAATGGGCCGGAGAGGAGCGCCCTCCTTGTGCACCTTGGGCAGACCATAGAACCTGGCCAAGACCGTTTCCTGGGCTCTCGCTATGCGTCGGTCGGTCGGTGTTATTGCACCCGAGTTCTCCAGTGCCAACAGTGTCGCATTACTTTCGCATGTCAGCGTTTTTACGGGGTTGGTTTCACATGGGACATAAAATTGGCTATCATCCAGTAGGTTTCTGGCCTTCTGAAGGTAGTCTGTTCTGTCCAGTACGATGGTGGAACGCCCCTTGTCCGCGGGCACGATGACGATATCCCTGTCTGCCTTGAGTTCTTATAGTGCATCGCGTTCGACCTTTGGGAATATTTCGCGCGGCTTGTGAGTCATAAGGATGGACGACAATTGGTGTCGGATAAGTTTCTTCGTCTCCTCCGTCGCCTCCGTCTGATTAATGACCGATTCCACTGCTGCAATCGTGTTTAAAGGTTTGGCGTCAGCTGTGTTGAATGAGGCTTCGTGCCGTAAAAGCTGCAGCTGATTCTTCGGCAGTTCCTTTGACGACAGGTTGTGTACCAGTGTACCGTCTCTGGATAACGTTGGATCAGGCAGTTTGTGGAATGTGTTCCCCAGTGCTGCATCGCGTGCCGTTCTCTGCTCGCGGGCTCGTTCAGTCACTTTCTGCTGAAGCAGATTTGTGCCGTTCTCGCTCATGAACTCGCAGCATCTGGCCTTTTCTTGGTCAATTCTCTGACGGTATTTGCGAAGTCTCGCATGGCAATCTTGAAGGAGCACGCGGATCATACGTCTTCCGCGCTGAAATACTGTGCTTCTCGCCAGCTTCGTGTTTACCGGGGGTTCGTATGAAACACACTTTCGCAACACGCTATTATCGAGACACCTGTACAGAAACCGGATCTGCGCATTAGTATTCTGAGATCTCTCCGATTTGGTATGCGTTGAGAGGGCGAGGATATGGGGCAGGTAGGTTCATTTTTGCCTCCATGCGATTGAGGTCATATTTACCGTTACTACTTATTTGGCATTTAGCAGCCAGTGCCCAGGTCGCCGACCGACGCAGTGCGCACCATTACAGTAACGAAAGCTCGACAGCAAAACATATCAGTAATTATGGAGTCAGAAAAACTCACCGAGGAGGTACGTATCCTTCAGGCGTAATGCCTCGGAAGATACAGCAGATGCCTTCATGCAATACTTCGCGTGACTCGCAAATACATGTAAATAGGACTCAGATTTTGATAATGCAAAACACACTCTCTAAAGTTTCATTAAAGGCAATAAAGAATCATATAAATGTGTACATGGAGGGCGGACGTCGTATGTATTTCGAACAGATAGAGTGGCCTCTTCATGCTTCATACACATATCTGACGGTGGATGGTGGAAGGTATATTTCGGGTTTAGAAGAGTTATTCGATTTCAAATTACTTCGGCACCGGCCTTGCAGTCGGAAACTTCGAGTTTTCAAAGTACAGTCTATGGACTGTTCATGTACACTAGATGTGGTACAACATCAAAGGTTAACTGAAACTTCGAAATTTGTTTCCGATTATGAATGATCACTTAAGTGGCGTTGTAATATTCGTTATACCGCAGAATAACTGTAGGCAATTTCAGTCACGTCAGAATTCCGGCCATTAGACGGACATCTTTCTATGTTATCTGCTTTTCTTGCAAGGAAAACTTATTGTCAGCATTATTACGAAGACATCAGATAGCCATAATTAAATTTTGTAATGGATGCAGACAACGATGTATGCCCCAAGAACAGAGTTAATAAGCTCAATGGCAAGGGTAGGGGGCGCTCACCGATCTTTCTTACGGAACTCACTCTTTCCGTTGTGCCTTACGGGCTCTCTCTTGAGCCCAACCAGTAGCCGCAAAGCCAGCAGCGGTAATAGCATTCAGCCGGCTCTCCATTATCAAAATGCACTTAATCGAGATGGCATGCCCCGTTGGTCGGCCTTGTACTGATCAATTTTTCTCTTCTACCACTGCCTCGGCCAAACGCGGGGTTGTTCGGCGGACTCTCAGCTGCGTGCGT